GCAACCCTCAGTGTCGCCCCCGTACCGGACTAGGACCAGCAACGGGATCGCAACCCTCGGTGTTGCTCCCACGCCTCGCTCAGCCAGTGAGCGGGAACCGGTCTGTATGTGGGATCCGAACCCTTGGCGGGAGCGCCGCCGCGCTTCCCAAGCAGCGCACTACAGCAGTGCGCCACCGGGCCGGCCCCAAGTCTTTTTTATTAAATCTAAAATTCTGGTAAATTTTAATTTTCTTGCCTTTTTTTTTTTTAAAGTACTCACATTCCATTTAACAATCCAATATCTGCTAAATAAAGCTTTACACAGTCTACTTAAGTTCCTGACAGTGTTCCCCCGCTAACCCCAAAGCTGGTGTCTGAATTGCGTCAGCTGGTGGGCGAGTGCTGTCTGAGAATAATGCTAAATTAGCTGCCAGACCTACATGCCAATGGGCGTGGAGGGAAAGGGCATTAGAACAAGTGTTGAAACCAAGCTGGTTCCCTTTCCTTAGTTTCTTTTGAGTGTGCGTGCCTATGTACACCTCTCCTATGCAAAGATCAGAAAGAAGTAAATGAGAAATGATGGACTGTATGGGCAGTGGTAAGGACAGCAGCTGTTGTGTTCTGCACCTACCACTTCCATGGTTTTATCATCGGGGATTCTGCTACAAGTTCCTTATCGAAGGACTGGCCCAGCAAATGCTGTAGCCAAGACTCCTTCCCGTGGTCCTGACCTCAATGGCAGGTTGGCTAGGACAAGGGAAGAAAGAGCAGGAGAGACCCGCAGCAGTGCTGAGTGAATAAAAGAGTAAGTGCAGGAGACAGAGCTGTGTGAGGTCATGGAGAGTCTGGTGAGCGGACCACTGTGAGCCAGGGAGAGGCCTGCTGAGTGTGAGGTCGGGGACAGTTTGAAATCGTGAGCACTGAGAAAAAGATTTCCAGAAAGAGGGCAGCCAGAGTCCTTAAAATCATTAAATACCAGCATGAGTGTAGGTGCAGAGCAGCTTTTCAGTCTTGGCTGCAAATTAGAATCTCCTGGACAGTTCTGGCACCTGCAGCCTGGACCATACTCGGGGCAGCTAAATCACCATCTCAGCGCAGAAACCAGGATCTGCTTCTTTCCTTTCAGTTCAGGGGCATTGGCTGTATAATTTCAGCAGGAGTGGCAGCTCTGAGATGCCGTTTCGGGAGACGGACACGTGAGGGACCTGCACGTGCCCTCAGAGACGATCCACTGTCATTGCCAATGCTGCCTGATAGGGCACAGGTCATGATTTTCCCAGATTTTTCTCCACTACTTGAAACATATACTGTAGTTATTAAAGAATCGAGGTGCTCTTTGGGAGGTGGTAGCATATCTTTTTCTTAAAATAGTTTCTCTAAAAAGTTGAGGTGACATTTATGTAATACAAAATCAGCCATTTTAAAGTGAGTAACTCAGTGGCATTTAGCACATTCACAATGTTGTACACCCACCACCTCCATCTAGTTCCAGAACATTTCATCATTTCAAAAGAAAGCCGTGCCCATCAGTAGTCACTACTGTTCCTTCCCCCGCACCCCCAGCTCTGGCAACCACCAATCTTCTTTCTGTCTCTGTGGATTTACCTGTTGTGGACATTTCATGTAGTTGAAATCATACAACATGTAACCTTCATGTCCAGCTTCTTTCACTTAGCATGTTTTCGAGGTTCATCCATACTGTAGTGTGGATTTTCCTATTTTTCATTTTCCACATTCATTCCATCTTGTGGCTGAGCAGTAACCCTCTGGGTGGATGTAGCATGTGTTGTTTATCCACCCATTGACGGGCGCTGAAGCTGTTTCCACTTCTTGGCTGTTGTACACGGTGCTGCTGTGAACTCATGAGTAGAACTGCTATCTTTAAAAGCTCCCAGGAGTATCTCTGGGCAGCTGGGGCTGAGCAGCGGGTGTGGACCTGGTCTCCGAGCACAGTGGCACACTGCACGCCCTGCGATGCCCCCATTCCTGGCCTTCTTTACTGTGGGCAAACTTCATCACCTCCTGCGTCAGCCCAAAACGTGAGTGTCCAGCGTCCTCCATCATTCCAAAGTTTATTTTTCCCTCACCTGTGTGAGAGTTGGTTTATCGGAATCCACATTCTTTCTGGTTCCCATGGTTAAATCTGCCTCAGCTAAAATAGCCCCTCAAGTCAATATTGAGAGCAGCTGGACAGTTTTTTAGAGTTTGTTTTCAATTCTCTGGAAATCTAAGCTAGTAATTCAAAAACTGTTTCAGCGGCATGAAGAGAAGCTGATGTTCATGTTATGAATGTGAAAAGTTCACTACTCGCTGGAAGCTGGGGTGACTTGTAGTCTTGGTTGACGCCAGGTACATTTCTCTCAAACGCATGTGGCTTCGGCCCTCAGAGCACAGCCCACACACCCACTGGTGCAGAAAAATGCTGTGAGCTTTCATGTTTTCTCTTCCCCTAGTCTGACAACAGCCCTGATTCCAAAATCTGCTTCTACGATGTTGAGATGGACACAGTGACCATCTTCGACTTCAAGACTGGTCAAATTGATCAGAAAGAGATGCTGTCCCTTCATGGACAGGAGACTAACACGTAAGATTGTGATTTGGGAGGATCTTGTTGAAAATGTTGAAATCGATATTCAGTTACGTCCAACTTCTAATTATTTATAGTTCAAACTTCAAAGACCCCAGCAATCACTAGTAGTTAAAACAAAAAGTAAGGGCCGGCCATGGCACCAAGTCAAGGGTTAAGATCCCCTTACCAGTCATTTAAAAAAAAAAGGAAAACAAACACACGTAGGTGGTTGGGGTCGATTTGAGTCTTTAGTTTCTGTTCTCCAGGTTTAAGGTTCTGGAATTAGAGTAGGAACTTGAACCTCTGGAAGAGCTGTGGCTGAAGTGTCTGTGGAAATGGCCCACAAGTCACAGGATAGAGTAATGGAATGGACCCAGACCCGTCACAGCTCCGGTGATAAGGAGGGAATTTGTCTGTGTAGAGATTGTATTTCTAGGAAAAATAATTGTCTGTCTTTATGGAGTTGATGTAACATAAACTTGCAGCTCCTGCTGCTGCTAAGAACATGTTCATAGAATTTAAAGTGCTTATAATATTTCACATGCAGTTCATATTTAATTCTGCGTAAAGTAAGGCATGAAAGCAAAGTAGACAGTGTTTGGAAGGACACTGGATCTAAGCCTGTGTCCTTATCACAGGAGAGGCAGTGCAGCTGGCCTCCAGACTGGGTGTATCTGCAGCGAAGCCAGTGCAGGCAGGAGAGCTGAAGTGGCTCTCTGGGTGTGATCAGTGCCTCACAGAAGAACAGTGCAGTTGAGTGCTATATTCACTGGCTAGTTTTCCTCTGTCTTCCTTTTTTTTCCTCTTTTTTTTATTGCTGTTACTTTTGCTCATACCCACAGGGCCTCCCTCCCAGCCTTGCCCCAAATTCCCCCCGCCAGTACCACACACCTTCCTCATCAGACCCTTTTCTGGAACCTCCCTTTACTGGTGGCCGTTATCCCGCGCCCCTGCTGTGACTCCCGGGTGCTCACGTCCTTCTTCACATCTCTCCTGACCCAGCTGTCCCCCACCTCAGCACGTTCACTGGACCTTCTCACTCTGCCTCAGACTTCTGGCCCAGCCTCACTCCCTGGAGTCCCAGTTCTCACCCGGGCACCTCTGCTCTTGGCCACCAGGTTTCAAACCTCAGAACTAACCTTTCTTTTAATCCCTACTATCCATGACCCACATTCTGAGTTTTTCTTGTTCTGAATGTCTTTTTATTCATGTTTCCTCTCTCGACTCTGCCTGCCACTCTGCATCCCTTGCCAGGCCAGTCTTGCTTGAAAGGAACCACCTGTGTTCCTGCCACCACTCAGGCACTCAGTGAGCACTCCGTCTAAAAAGCTGCACAGTGCTGGAACAGGACTGCCTGTGGGGACACCTGCGGCGTTGGATGCAGGTGGCATCTGTGGGGGATGTGCATTTCCTGCAGGGCTGGGTCGTCCTCGCTTGGTTCATTACTCTCCTCGGGGGGCAGCAAATGAGGCCTCACCTCAGGCGCCTGCCTTCTTTTGAGATCTTATCCGTTCTTTGCCACTCAGCTCGTCTTGTCCCCCTACAGTACTTCATCAAGCTCTGGGCCTGTGAAACATAGACTTTTTTTTTTTTTTTTTTTCCTTTTTT